TCACTGTGAAGAGATGATCCCTGTGCTTCGAGTGAGACAATAACCTGGCTCCCCAGCCAGCCTGGCCACAGATTTTGTGCTGCAGTCACATCCGGGGTGGTTATCCCTCTGTAAACAAACCCTGCAATGCAGCTGTCCAGGGATCAAACCATCTTCCTTGAGGCCTTCACTTTGCTGCTCAGTGTGCAGCAAGTGCTCATCCCAACCACACTAGATCACTTTTCCCAGCCCTGCCTGCCAGCCAGTTAAAATATCTTACTTCTGCCTCTGTGGGCAGTGACACTCCTTGGTGGGTCACAGAGCTGCCTGAAATCCGAGGGACACAGCCACAGTCCCCCTGCTGTGTGCTATTCTGGTGATGTGAGTGCTGCTACATGACTGGTAGCTTGGAAATGTGTTCAACTATTCCCCTGGTTTATATAACCTCAAAGCAATTTGCTTTCATAGCTGAACATGCTTATTCGTTCTATTTTAACTGTGCATTGAGCTATAAATAATGTCTCATTGCAGATAAGAATCTATTGAATTTTATTATTTGTTTTTCTACCTTGGGAAGATTTTCTCCTGAAGGAGACTTTCCCAGCCCGAGCAGGGAAGTTGCCTCATTGACTCTGTCCTGCCAGGCAGCCATGAATGGTGTCAACCCCAGGTCAGCTGCCACTTCCCTGCAGCCACCTCCTCATTGTTCCTGCTTGGGCTGTGGCAAAGATGAGACGAGTGCTCAGTGATGCAGAGCTGAGATCACTGAAGTGTCAGGGAAACTGATTAAACCAATGATTTCCTGTTCCCCTGATCAGCTGCAGGTTAACACCTCTGTGTTTGCTCCAGCCCACCTTCCCTGCAGTACATTCACTTCAAAGAGCAATAACCTGGGTCAGTGTCCAGCCAAATTGTGTGGGTTGCTGCCTCCTTTTTCTGATGTTCATTGTAGCATTATCTGCTTCCCCATGAGTTACTCCTGCCTTCTGCAATGGAGCCCTGACCTGACATCCTTGTCATCCAGAGACTTCTCAGAGCACAGCACGAGCTGGGGAGGTGAGGGATGGAGATGTGTCCTCAGAGCTGCTGCTGAGACACACGTCTGGTCCAGGGGCAGCACAGCAGGGAGGTGGATGGCATTTTGGCACCTGGTTTGCTGTGGCACAGATAACTTTTCTTGAGATTCAAATGCTGATGCTCTTCTGGAGAAGGGTTGTGGTGGCAAAGTGCTGGGCTCCTGCAGAAGTGAGGAGGCTTTGAAATCATTGAGAGCTAATACTGTCTTGAAATTTGGATGGTTTAGTGTGAGGTTTTATTTTAACAATTATTTTAATCCACTCTGCTGTACATGTTACTGGTCACCCACTGTAAAAACATTCTTGGAGCTCTTTGTACAACTTACCTTTAGTGACCTAGTAAAGGCTGCTGGAAAACTCTGAGAAGACTCTCCTGGGTCATAGAGAAATATTACATTTTTTTATTAATAACAGCTATTTATAGGAGACAGAATTATATAAGTACAACATAAATAGAATAATTCAAGTTGTAAGGGATCTCCAGAGGTCTCTGGCTCAAACCCTGATCAAAGCAAGGCCAAAGTCAAAGGCAGGTCAGGATGCCCCAGGCCTTTCTTTTTCAATTGGGTTCTCAACAGCGCTGAGGAAGGACGTGCATGGCCTCTCTGCTTTCTGTGCTTGATCATCCTCATGACAAGGAGTAATTCCTCACATTCATTCAGAATTGAATCCCTTTGCCATACAGCTTAGAGAAGACTTTGGCTCTGCCTTATCTCTAACCCCATCAGGGAGCTGCAGACAGCAGTGTGATCCCAGCAGTCATCTATTCTCCAGGATGAAGAAGCCCAGCTCCTTCAGCTTTCCTGGAATGCCCTGTGCCCCTGTCCCTGGGCAGCCTGCCTGCCTCTGCTGGACTCGTTCCCATGTGTCAACATCTGCCCTTGTAGTGGGGCCAAATTCATTCAGTTCATTGCATAAGTAATGTGAAACCATGTCAGCCTTCACCTGCAGGGTACAAAGTTCTGCACATGGTCTTATTAGTTCAGGAAAACATCCACTGGCATTACCTGGATCAAGTTCTATTTAATAAGTTCATAAACACATGGATGTGTTTTGATAGCGAGATGTTTTTAATCATATCAGTGACTTTGTTTGCTTTATTGCTCAGTTCAAATGAGGCCTCCAAGCACTGGGTAAGAGGCAGAGCTTCCATTTTGTGCTGTGCTGGTTTCTCCAGGCGTGTGGCTCAGTGCAAACAGTTATTGGCCACACTGTGGCCAAAAGAAAGCCAGAGATGAAAACTGTAGCCTGAATTGTGTTTAGCAGGCATTTTGGAGTGATTAGAGGCATTTTCATGAAAGAGCTGCAACTAATCGGTATTTCCCACTTTTGCAGCAGTTATTTGTTAATTAAATAATGTGACAAACCCCAGGAGTGCTTAGAAATTAAATGATGTATTAAATGATTTGCCATTTATTTATCAATGTGTTATTTATGCTGAGGAGCTGCATATCTGCTAAGAAAATTCTTCAACCTCAATTTTGATTCTTCCAGAGAATATGAAATCAATACTGAAAAAAAAATGTAATGGGAAATGTAAAACAAGAAATTACATGAGTAAGTCAGAGAGGATGTTGTTTAATGTCCATACCCTGTCATAGGCAGGGACATCCCACTGCCCCAGGCTTCTCCAATCCCTGCCCAGCCTGGCCTTGGACACTTCCAGGGATGGGGCAGCCACAGCTTCCCTGGGCACCCTGTGCCAGGGCCTCACACTAAGGAATTTCTCCCTAATACTTAATCTTTACTTTAATCTTTCTGCTTAAAGCCTTTCCACTCCCCCTTGTCCCACCACTTCATGCTCTTGTCCAAAGTCCATCTCCAGCCCTCTTGTAGGATCTCTGCCCTTGTGCTGGCTGCTGCACACAGAGGATTTTCCTTTAGCCAAATGGCCATTAGCCATATGCTGCATCTGACTTTGAGGATTAGAAGACCATAATGAAGTGGATTACAGCAGATCAGTGGCAGGATTGCAGACCAAATCCTCTTTCTAACTGTTCTTCCAGGAGTGGCTAAGGCCTGAGTGACCTGTCCTGCAGCATGAGCTTAGCCAGCTGTGGGATTTTTCCACGCTGTTATCAGAGGCAGGATAATCTGGAGCTGTAGCCCTGGGTGGGGAGGCTGTGGATGCTGAATGGCTGCAGGCTGTGCAATTGCCTGACAGCTGGGGATTTCTGGGTGTCACTTTTGTGGCTTGCCTAGGGGGTACCTGAGGGGTTCAGGTGTTGGCCAGTCACCACTTAATTGTTGAGTCTCCTTGAAGTGTCTGTAGGTGAGAGAGAGAGAGAGAAAGGATCTGCTGGACATCCAACAGGCATTGTGGTGGTCAGAAAATCTGAGTTGCCTGGGCCAGTGCCAGACCTGGCGCTGAACCCAGGAGTTGAAGTGGAAATTTTTTCTGTGGTGTAAGTTGTGCCAGACTTTGGCAGGAAAATGCTCTCCACTCATCAGGAGAAGTTGATCTTGCCCAAAGGACAGCACTGTCCAGGGCTGGGGCTGTGACGGCTGGTGTGGATGGTTTGGAGAGGTCTTGACTGGAGGAGGCAGTGGCAAAGTCCATATTTAACCCAGAATGATGTAGCCCCCTCCAACCCTGCAGAGCCTGCCCAGGTAAAAGCAGCAACTGTGACACGTAGGGAGCAGCTGCAGTAACTCCTGCACATGCTCAGGGAAAAGTGTTTGGCTTCCAGAGATGCTGTTCACAAGACACATCAGGGCAATATATCCTGAAGATGTGCCAAATCTGTCTGAAATATTCATGCATGCTCCCTGTAATTTATAGAAACAATCACAGCAGCATAATTATTTCGATGCTTCTCCCTGTGAAGAATCTCATCTTTTAGATGTGAAAATGTGACCTGCATATCCACACAGCCATGCTGTGGCCTTCTGGGTGTGCCAGGAGAGGTGATTCCATGCACTATCCAATATATCCATATATATATATGGATATATATATATATATATGTATATCCATATGTATATATATCTCCATATAGTGTATATACATCTATCTATCTATCTATCTATCTATCTATCTATCTCTATATCTATATCTATATATCTCAAAATATACCCTTTAGACTACTGTGGTGGATCAGACAACACCATATTTGCTTGGGGTGAATTTCAGTGATTTCAGGTGAATTTCATTTGTCTTATGGGTGGTACCTGGCTCATTAAAGGCAGCCGCTGTAAAGCACCTTTTGCTCTGCACCTCCCATAGTTCTGAAGTCTACCCCGGGCACAATGCTTAGCTCCCAGGACACCCCAAAAAACCCCAAGTTCCATTGTCATTTTGAACCTGTGAAAGGGATGAGGAACAGGTTGCAGGCAGAACCCACTCCTGCAAAATTACAGCTACTAAAACAGCAGAGGTGCAGACTTGCTCTGAGGCAGGAGCAATTTGGAGATGACACAAAGGCTGGTGGTGTGAGACAGACAGGGAAATGGGGACAGATTCTATATTTTAAGTATCATTTTCTAAAATATCTGCAAGAGGAAAGGACCAACTGTACTTTCAGGTGTAGCTGGTGCAATGTAAATAGGTTCCAAATCTTCAGTGCCTTTTGTTCTTCAGATGGCTTGGCAGAACACTCTGAATCCATGTATTTAACTGGGACTGGGTCTGTAAATAAGTGCTCCCTGTTGCTAAGGTTCAAGTGACATTTTTAGTGGCATTTGACAGATTTTTAACCTGCTTTCAAGTCTTCTACTGAGCTTTTCTATGCCCAGGCAGTGAAACTGTCATGAAGCCTTTAGCTTTACTCAGACTGATGCTGAATGCCTTTGGATTCACAGGTTGGACACAGTCCTGCCAGACATGCCTGACAAAACTTAACTGGTGCTGCTGATGGCAAAGCCACACCTGACCTGTGTTTGCACCTAGAAGTGATTATCTGGGAATCTGGGGAGAAAAACCCACCCAAAACCAGAAAGGAAAGCAGAGACTCAGCCTGGTCTGCAGGCAGGGTGGTGCTGCATCCTGCCTAAGCTGCTCCCTGATGGGAGATGTTCTGCAAGAGACAAATCAGTGTGGCCTGCTCTTTACTCCCCTCAGTATCCTGTGCTCCTTACACTTCCACTAGAATCCCAGAGAGGTTTCTTTTGTCCAAGAGGCTGTTTGTTTTCTTTTGACCACTCAGGACTTGTCTTGATCTATTAACCAGGTGTCCAGCCAAAATCAATTGCCTAGCAGACGCAGAAAAGTCAAGACCTCCATAAATATTACCGGCCTCATTGTGCTGGTGACAGATTCTGCAGGTTGTTTTATGTTACAGTTGAACAGTTTAGACATTGCATTTGTATATATTTGCAGCCAGCCCTGGAGGGACCATCTCGTGAGCAGAGTGGGAGCAGGCAGCCTGCAGACTCCAGACACCTCCACCATGACCACGGCAGGGCTTTTGGTGCTGCTCTCCTTCGCGCTTTGCTGCGTCCCAGGTGAGTCACTCTCCAGGTGTCTGAGTCCTGGCTGTCTTCAGAAGGATAAGGCAGAGGATTCAAAGAGAGAAAATCTCCTTCAGAGGGCTCTGCTGCCTCTTGGCATCGTGCAGGTTGCAGGATTGTGTTTCAGGACAGTCCTCCGTGGCTCGCTGCTGTAGCTGATGGATTGTCAGAAATATAAGTAACAGCAAGTGGAGGTCTGTGCTGGCAACTCGTGCTGTTTCACCTTGTACACTGACGTTCTCACACCATTACACTGTTTAGATTTCTACAATTACAGCAAAATGGATGAATACTTGAAATAAGGCCATGAGAAGGGGGTCAGACCCCCAGTAACTAATAAGGAAAATATTGTAATGGCACAAGCAAGTTCTCTGCAAGACCCTGGCAAATTTCCTGCAATGCTCTTTCTGCTAATGGAACAGCAAGAGATGAAAACAAGCCAGACTCTGATGTTCTCACTGCATATTCACAACTGATGAAATTACAAAGCCAAAGATATTTTTTTCACACTCGCTTTCTTTCAAATGCATATTTCTGTCAACAGATGCTGTATATATTTGCTTATCCTGTAGGTGACTATTTGCATTTGTCTCTGTTGATTCAGGTGTATTTTCAGATACACAGCAGCAGTGCTTTAGGGTCAAAACGGATATGTAAAAAGATAAGGAAGGAAAAGCTCTTCTGTTTTCAATTAATAAATCTACATGTCTCAGAACAAAAAAAGAACAAAGCTATTCAAAAAGCTGTTTCCTCATAGCCAGCAATAAGCAATGCTATTATGCTTATCAACATAGAGAAAAAAATCATACATAGTTTATATAGTTCAAAAACAACCAGTGGAAATCTTTCATCTTGGTCCTGCACACAGGAATTTTATATCCATATTTCCAGCTTTAATTGAGGTCTTATCATATTGGCTTTTGTTCATACTTTCTGCCTCTTTTTTCTTTTCCAGATACTGCCTTTGGGATTGAGGTAAGTGGAAGATTTCTTTCTGTCACCTTTCTCAAGTATGTGGTCTAATAAAGAAATAACCAAAGGAATGGGAAAAACCTCCAGCCTGTGGGTGCTCAGCTGTTTTTCACCTAAGTGTCACACTTGGGTCACTGTAATCAGATTCTACAGTGTAAAACATTAAATTATGCTGCCCTTGGCTGTTACATCCATGCTGTAGGTTAATAATGTTTTAGTGGTAATGATAAAATGTTTTTGGATTAATTAATTTTTCAGCAACTTTAGACTGGTCTAAGCTTTAAGCTGGAAATATATAACTGGTTCTAAACTGAAGCAATAGACTGGTATCAGAACCCACCTGAGGGCAACCTACTGAAAGACTAAAATACTCTGAGCTGATCCAGCTTCCTCACAGATCATTAGTCTTGGTCTTCTGAAAAAAACCATGATCATTGTATTAAGAATGAAAAAGTAAAACCAGAAGTGCAGTGGAGGGGCCACAAGAATTGCAGAACTAGGAACCAATGGAGAGCCTTTATAAAATAATGTCAAGTGAGCATGAGACAGCAGCACTGGTTTATCCCATCCAAGGGGCTGCATGGTTATAGCTCTTCCCTCCTCCTCTTCTTCTTCTTCTCTGTGGGGACATCTCTGGAGGAAGAATTCTCCTGAATGACCACAGCAGAAGTTTGTGCTGCGGCAGTGAGGACTGGTTGTACCAGCTCAGTGTCCCACACACAATGAGAGCTGTGAACGTCCCAGGTCCTCTCAGCCTGTTGCTGTGATTCCTCTGGCAGGTGGACTGCAGCACATATCCCAACACCACGAACGAGGAGGGCAAGGAGGTGCTGGTCTGCAGCGAGGCCGTCAGCCCCATCTGCGGCTCCGACGGCGTCACCTACGGCAACGAGTGCCTGCTCTGTGCCTACAACGTGTATGTTCTGCGTGGGGACAGCGTGGGGACAGCGTGGGGACCCCAGCCAGCACAGCTCAGAGCTCCTGGCAGCACCACAGCTCACCCATCAGTGCTCTGTCACACGTCACCTGTGTCAATTCCTTTGAAATGAGCTTGGCTATCACGGCACAGCGCTCAGGCAGAGCTTTAGTCACTGTGTCTGTCTTTTGTTTCTGTAATTTATTCAGGTTTTTTCTTCTCTGTCTCAAGGAGTGGCCAGGTGATGGCTCTGAGAGCACATCTCATCACAGCAAAAGGATAGAGATTCTCTGCTCAGAGCTGCCCAAAATGGTCCTAAAGCTTCCCTGGGTTTTACATCCCTGCCAGCTACTCAGCTGATGAGGGAGGGTAGCTCTACCTTTTCAAATACGTGTATAAAAGAAGCCTGACTGAGAAAGAGTTGGTTTTCCTTTGTAGTAATTCTACACATAGGATGTAGCAAGACATCTCTGCTGAACTTCCTAACATTTGTCTTTTCCTCTGCAGAGAATATGGAACCAATGTCAGCAAAGACCACGATGGAGAGTGCAAGGAAGTTGCCCCTGTAAGTTAAACCAAGGGCAAAACAAGGGGTGTGTCCTGCTTGTGAGTGGCCAAAGGTGCTTATTGAAATAATTCAAACCCTAAACAAGAATACAGATGAGCTGCCAGAGTCTTGCACTGGTCCCCTCCAAGTGAACTGTCATCATGGTGACGGACAGAAAAGCTTTTCTCCTGCTGTGGTGCATGGCCAGGCAGACACACTCACCAGATCCACTTGTGTGCTGTAAGCAAGGCCTTCAGCAGGGCTTTGTTTGTTCCCTCGCCAGGTGGATTGCAGCAAGTACCCCAACTCAACCTCTGAGGATGGCAAAGTGGCGCTGCTGTGCCACAAAGACCTCAACCCCGTCTGCGGGACCGACTGGGTCACCTACAACAACGAGTGCCTGCTCTGCGCCAGGAGCCTGTGAGTACTGAGCACGGGGACCTGGGCTGGGCTCCTGGACTGCTCTTTTGGATAGCAGGACTTCTACCAAGGCCTTTTCTGTGAGCTGCTTGGACTTTCACCCTCCTCTTGTCCTCCTGACTGAAGCTTGTTTTCCTCTGTCTTTAGGAGGAAAGCTGTGCCTTGGGTCTGGACAGAGAAGTAGAGGGCTGGCTGGGGATCTCACACAGGACAGGATGCTTCTCTTAACTCAGTTAAAAGGGTCTGCGTGGCAGATGCTGCCTTGCAGAGGGCAACAACTCACTCAGGGGGCATTGACAGTGTCACACAGCCTGTCTCCTCATCCATCCTGTCCCCTGTCCCTCACATCCTGCTATAAACCAGCTCTGGCAGGCAGTGACACCACCTGAGCTGGTCCCTGGAGCCACATGGACCTAAGCTGGGTGCCTCCTGTATCCCATACATTGTGCCTGAGGCTGCTCAGCATTTCTGGATGATGGGTTCAGCAGAACAGGTTGCTTGTAGAGCTCCCTAACACAGGTCTCTTCCCTTCCCAGGGAGGCTGGAGCCAGTATTGGCAAGAAGGCTGATGGTGCATGTAAGAAGGAAATTGTCACAGTAAGTGAATTGGGTGGTCAGGGGCTGGGTTTTGGTCCTGCTGCTGTCAGGGGAAGCACTGCCAGTGTCTGCAGCAGCCCTCAGACCAGCAGTGTCCTGCAGAAGTGAAACAGCTGCTGTGCTGCAGAAGGGGAGAGATTTTGCTTTCTCTGCACGTAATAAATGTTATTTGTGTGAACGCCAGGAAAGGAGCAGGTGACTGCTCAGGAAGGGATGAGTAAAGAGTAGTAGAACGAATCTATCAGGGCAGAACTGTGAATAAGAACAGAGAATGGATTTTGGGGTCAGCCCAATGGTCCATCTAGCCCCTGGCAATTTGGTGCAGAGCCTGCTGCTGGCAGGGGCTGTGAGCATTGTGTAGGACAGAGTGAGAGTGCAGAATGTAGAGAAAAGTGACTTCTACCCTTCCAAGTTCCAGCTGTTTTCAGGTGGAGGACCTATCTGTGATTTCTTTGCAGTCACTAAGCCTTGAGAGATTTCTCCTCCATGAAATTCCTCAGCCCCTTCTGACCCAGACACATTTTTAGCCCTACAGTGTTCCTCAGCAAGTGTAGCACCCATTGCTCCAGGAAACAGAATCCCACTCTTGCAGTATCCAGCTATGTGCTGATCTTCCAGTTTTAAGACTCCAGAAGGAATAGTGAACATTTACAGAGGATCAGCACTCCATTTCTCCAGACTCCAGTGTTTTTCCATTTAATTTCCTGGCCAGCTTGGGAACACAGAGCACCTGCACCGAGTGAACTGCTGCTGCTTGGAAATGCCATGGCCAGGTTATGATATACATCTCTTCAAACAGGAAATTATGATCTATTTTTATATTATTAAATTCTCCTGGCATGGGAGAAACTGACACCTCAGTTTATATCAGATGTGCAAGGAAGTTAATTACTTTTGGTAAGATTGGTATCACTAGCACTGCAGCTCTAGCTCAGGGTTCAAACCCTTGTGCTACTGACTCCTCCACGTCAGACTCTTTTATTTTTATTTATTTTTACAGGTTGACTGCAGTGACTACCCCAAACCTGTCTGCACACTTGACTACATGCCTCTCTGTGGCTCTGACAACACAACATACAACAATAAGTGTGTCTTCTGCAACGCAGTCGTGTATGTAAAATATCAGTGATGTTTCTATTATCAGTTGCCTCCTGTGGGCACAAGTTTGCACAGTTTCTCCTCTTTTGTTTCCTGGATATTGTTGATTAGGGATTTGGGGCAGGAGGGAATGCCAGCCACCGTGTCAAGCATTCATTTATTTTTTTCATTAGAGCATAAAAAAAGCTACGGCTGCTTTGTTAGTGTGAATGGCTTGAGGAGCAGTTAACCTAAATGGAATTTTTCTTGCATGTTTCAAAGGAAATGAAATTCCTTTCTTTTTAAAATTCCACTACAGTTTCCCCACAGATATTTTCAGTTTTAAGAATGAGTTAAATTGTTTCACTCATGTCTTAATAATCAAATAGTAAATGGGATTATGAGTCTGCAAGTGCCTTGGCTCTGGGGCAGGATGCCATCTGACACCATCTCTAGGAGCCATCAAAAGACAGATCATAGCAGGCAGGACTCTGTGTTTAATTCATCCTTTCCTCTCCTTGCTTTCAGGGACAGCAATGGGACTATCACTTTAAGCCATTTTGGAAAATGCTGAGTATCAGTGCCAAGGGAATTCACCACAGGATCCCCACTGGAAAATCCCAGATAAAGATCTCACCTCAGTTCATGCCACCCTCTGGGGAACTCAGCTCACTCCTGATTTTCTTTCTCAATAAACTAAATCAGCAACATTTCCCTGTCTTCTTTCATGTGTTGTCTCATAAAACATTGTCTTGATTTGTTGGATGATGATAGTGGGCAGAATAGGTTACGTGCTCAAAGCTCTGGGATAGAACCAGAACATAACCTTGCTCCCCTCCCTCTCCTGAAAGGCAGAAAATTAAATACAGATGCTCCAACCCCCGAGCTGTGTGTCTTTGCACATAAATGACAATAATGTCCCTGCATTAGTGCTCAGACCCTTCAATGTTTGACATGGGACAGGGCTGAAGTCGTGACACAGGAGGGTCTCTCCAAAGGTGCTCCTGGTGCATTTTCCTGGCCAGCAAAACCCAGCCACACCTTGGTGTCACTGCCCAGAGCTGATCCCTGGCTCTGTCCCCACCTGAAGTGCTGCTCTCTCAAGGGCACTCTCGTGGCAAAGCCCATATTGCTCAGACACGTGCATTGTCTCTGTCTATTTGTCTGAGTCCTCCAACTGAGTTATTACCAGGTTTTTCTCATCTTGGAGTCGTCCTTTAACACCCTTCAAGTGTTTTGAGATTAATGCCTTCCTAGGTGTGGTGCCTACTCCTGCCTACTTGTCTTCTCTCACTCTTCAATTACACAATGTTCCTTGCCAGCCCAGGGAGTATTTCAGCAGTGTTTCAAAATCCAAGGACAAAGTATCCTTCTGTTTCTGAGAGTGTGACCTGTCATTGGTGTATTGTGCATGAAATTTATTTTGCTTTTGTCTTCAATACTCTGTTTGAGTATTGAATTGGGTTTTGGTTTTTGGTTTGTTTTTGTTTTTTGGGTTTTTTTTTGGATCCACACAAGAGAGGCATAAATAAATTGGGCTTATCCCTTCTAAAATGTAATGTCTCCCACATGCATTTCTTCTGGGAATTAAAGGGAGAGGGGTGCTTGTTCTCCTTGATGGAGGTTGTCACAAAAAGCAATGCTTTGGTGGTAAACCAAAGGATTTATGTAGAGATGGGCTTCCAGATTGGGTTCAGCTTTTCTAGGATCCATGCTAGGGTCTCAAATCATTCTGTCATCATCATACTAAAAGTCTATTACTGCAGAGCTAATGGCTTTTAGGGGAAATAACAATTGTAAATTTTTTTTTGCGTAGTCCCATAAAAGTTTCTCCATCCCTTGTCATTTCCCAGGACTCCTTTCAGTGTCTGGGATGTCCTCTTGCTTGCCTTCCTGGTTCCTTGTTTTCCTGCTTTCACTGTAACTTTGTGATGTTTTGCTTGGGTGAAGCACAAAAATAAAAGGAGAGCCTTTCTGCTACAGAAGCATTTCATTCAATGTTTTTCTCATGAAAAAGCACTGCACAAAAATAAGCAGTGATAGGTGAACACAGAGAAAATCTGACAGCAGTTTGTACAGTGGCTCTTTTGCCCGCAGGAATTTTCTATGGTCCTTCAGAAGGAAACTGTCACATATTTCTCTTAAAATAAGGACTCAGAGGGTGTATCTCACACATCTAAACTCCTCGTGACTCCCGTTGATGAAGAAACACCATTCTTGGCTTACAGCACAGCTTACCTCTACTGATATTACCACTGAGACAAAAGGCTGGAAGTGTTGCTCCAGGATAAGGGTGGATAAGGCAAATATGAACATGCACAAACACACACGCCCCCCCAGTGGTGCAGGCACACATATAAGCGTGGTTGCCACCTGAGGACAGAATCTAGGTTGTGTTTCCTGAGCAAAAGCCAAGCTCTGCTGCTCACAGCTCATCCAGCCACCATGAAGATCACAGGAGTGCTGCTTCTGCTCTCTCTGGCCCTTTTCTGCATCTCAGGTGAGTGGCTCCACTGCCTCCTGCTCTCTGCCTTGGAGTAAGCACTGGGCTGTCTTCAAAACCACAAAAAAACATCCTCAGACTGGAAAGAGCTCCATTCTGCAAGGACTTATTTACTCCTAGAAAGATAGTGTTGAAAAGACTTGACATCAGAGACTATCACTTATGGGGTAATATTTTAGCAACAGAACTGAGTGGGTAAGAACAACTGTGGGAACAGCTCTACTCTCAGTGCTAGTTTATGCATAATGAAAGAAGTGACATGTACGTGGTGCAACCCGGAGACTCAGACAACCAGTATTTAACCTCTGAAATGTTGCAGAAACACAAATAATTTTACTGAATGGAAGTGAACATTTCTTGTAGTCATCCTGAACCGAGGTGTACTTTGAGAGCCTGAGCTGCTGTAGAAGCTTTATAAATTCACCTCTCACTAAATACTGTTCTTATTTTAAAATAATACTGGCAATGCATATAAGATGCTGCCTCTGTGTACTTGCCGCTTTATCTCCCTGTTTACCTCAATAATTTGCTTCTCTTTGAGTTCATATCCTGTTCTGTCCTTTGAACCATAGAAAATGCCTTTCTCTTCTTTTATTTTACACAGAATTTTCCATTTTGACAGTAACCCTCATTAAAAAACTACTACAGAATCAACATACAGTATGGCACAACATTTTGCCTGAAATTCCTTTTGTCTAAGAATAATTTGCTACCACACAGGGAGTTGGAAGATATGTATTCAGGGCATGCATTCTTAGATTTTAACAGAATCCATGAATTGCATTTGTAACATATTTCATTTGTTCTTTTTTTTTTAGTTCCAGCTACTGATGCGCTGCAGGTAAGGGACAGATTTTTCTATTCTCCATCCTTTCTTTCCTTAAAGCAGTTTCTGTATAAATCTTTACTAATCACATCATGATGGAGCCTTTCAAAATCCTGAGACGCCCAGCTGCCTGAGCAATACTTGCCACAGATATTATCGGGTGAAATTGCCATTTTCATCTGGTGGTAGTTTCAACAAGTAGGGCAGTATTCAGTTCATGTCCAGGCTGTTGTCAGAGTTACTGCAGCATCATTTGCAGTGGTTACCCAGGCTCTGCATGGCTGCAGGCAGCACTCCACTGCAATCCTGCCCTGTCCCTGGCTTTTCCTCAGCATCTGCTCCTGGGCAGCAAGGGGCAGTTCAAGGGGTGTGTGGGGCCTCCCAATGTCACCTTTCTCACCCAGCTTTGGTTGAGAGCTCTTTTTTTTGTGGATACAGGCTGCATCCACCTACTGCAAGAACCAGAGGACCTTCAGGAATATGTGTACCATGGAGTACGTCCCCCACTGTGGGTCTGATGGTGTCACCTACCCCAACAAATGCACGTTCTGCAATGCGTTCCTGTACGTATGGAATAAATCTCTTCACCTTCTGTGTGGTGAATTAACTTATCTTAAACTGGCTAATCAGTCTTGGATGCTGGTTGGAGAAGTAAAGTTCTTTTATTTGGTTTGTTTGTTCTCTCACCAGCAAGGGTTGGTTTGTTTTTTTTTTGTTTTTTTGGAGATTTTGCTAGGAACTAATTTCTTTGAGCTATAAAGAGGCAATGTAGTGTTCTCCATTTTCCTCTTAAGTGATTTGCAAAAGGGCTTTCTCTCAGCAAACAAAGTCTGTTTCCTACAGACTATTTAGTGTTTTAAATTAAGAACTTTTCTTGTCTTTATATGTCAATAATAAAAATAAATATGTGGAATAGAGTTCAGTCCTCTGTGACGCAGAAGGACAGACCAACAGTAAAAGCCCAGATGTTGTTCTCTCACTTACTCTGATTTCTTTCTGATTTCTTTCTCTGCAGGAGAAGCCGTGGAAATCTTGCCTTGAGGTCTCTTAATGCCTGTTAAGTTCTTGACAGGATTCAGCTGAGAAAAAGCATCCCTCCCTGACAATGTTCCCCATGGCAGATGACTTCCTAAACACCTGACCCTTGAAAACCTCTTATTAACCCTGAAACCTCTGATAATAAAAAAAAAGACCCAGCATTTATGTTGTCCTTTGGTCTCATTCTGGCTTTGCCTAACATGTTGCATGATTATACCACTGCAACAACCCTGGGTGTGGGAATTAATGGGCAAATTTCAGGGGAGAGGGAGAATGGTGTTCTGATCTACAAAAATATCCAAACTGCAAGACAATGGGCAGCTTTTGTGGGCATCTGCCTTCACCTGGCTTTCCAAAAGAAAACCCAGGCTGGAGATGCATCCTGGTGCTCCTGTCCATTTGCTGCTCTTGGGGGATCTGGCAGACACTCTCTGCCTGGCTGGGAGGAGCTGCCTCCCTCCCCAGCTGCTGCTGTCAAATTCCTGCAGCCTCACCCAGCCTCACTCTTTGTAGCACCAAGATGCCCCGGGCAAAACTAAACATTAACATAATTAGAGACAGTCCCAAGACTTGTAATTGGGGTGTTCTGGCACTGTTCTGCACAGTGGGGTCTTGCTGGCACAACGAGCTGCTCATCCCTGTTTCAGTTTCCAGAGTTATCCCCAATTCCTTACACCTGCAAGGGAATATGTGAGGAGGGTCACGAGCAGGATTGAAAACCCAGCTCTAGCTGAGAGAAAGCCTTTTGCAATGTCCCAGGGTGTTTCCTCTGGGCTGCCCACGTTGCTTCATTGCTGAGGGGCATTGCAGAAAACCCGTGGGCAGCCGGTGCTCACAGAGCTGATGTCCAGGGGATGCTGGCAACCACTGAGCCCCTGTGGGCTCCTCACCCATCACCGAGCTGCTGGTTGAAGGTAATTACCTTGACTGCCGCTTGTAGAGGATCCTTTGAGATCCTCCGGCCTCTGGAACCCTGGGCTGATGAAAGGAAGGGCTCAGAGTGATGGTGTTAATTTATTATTCATTAACAGCCAGGCGCTGCCAGTGCCGCGTGCTGCAGAGGCAGCAGTCTCACAGTCAAATAGTTAATGATCTTAAGTGACAATGTGTCACTTCCCAGAGACTGCAGAGAGCAGCTCTCTAAAAGGAGACAATTTATTTCCAAAAGACATGGCTCTCTGCAGCCATTTAGTGCCGAGTCCCTTCCTGGGGCTGGAGTGTCCCTCCTGGGAGGGGGAGGTCTGTGTGCAAGGAAGGCTTTTCAGCATCAGACACGATTTCTGGGGACCAGGATAAATTGAGGTAGTGCTGGGGGTGTGGGGCACATTCAGTCACCTTCTCCCTCTCTGCTGAGCGTGGGAGTCAGGGTAGGAGAGCACCAGCTGCAGCAGTTATTTTTTCCCTCGGGCAGCAGCAGGGAGGATGAGGATGGCCCTCAGGAGCCACGATGCCTTGGAGACAAGTAGAGCTCCCGATTGTGCTGGAGGTCCCCGTGATGCTCAGAGGGCCTCTTGCAGGGCCATGTCTGCTAAACAGGAAAATCCAGCAGGCAATTAGGGCAATTTCTGTGAGAAAATGATAAATCCTCTGTGATTGCTCAGGAGTGACCACGGGCAGAGCAGGACCCCAGCAGAGCCCCCGGCCTCCCGCCCCAGCAGCTCATCCTGGATGCTCCTTAGGATGGAGAGGAAGAGCATTCTCCTTTATGAGCACCTCGTTGGAAATAATTTTTTTTATTGCTTCTCAATAAAATCCTGCCACAACAGCACAAATCCTCTCACCATTACTAATCTAACTCTCCCTCCAGGAAATTCAAGGCAGGAAACATTGTCTGCCTGCCAAGGTATTTTATGGTACAATTCTTTGAGCAGTACCTCAGCACTTTATGTCATTATCTGATGTTTTGGATTCAGGAAATGCCATTCAATTACCCCACAACCTGATTAACACATTGCATGTACTTATTTTGTTCTGCTTTATTTTATATTGTTCCTTCTATTTTTGTGCATTGTTTGACTTGTTGCTGGCCAAAATATACCTCAGGCCAGTCTGGACCTTTCTGTTAATGCAGTTTCTCTCTGTGGCTGCATTCAGGAGAAATGGTTTATTACTGCATTCTTACTTGATGTGGAGAAAAATAAAATTATGTTTGAAAAGTGAATTAATTGTGGGTGTTTTGGGAGGCTGGTTGTGTCAGAGCAATTGCAGCGAGGCAGAGCTGAGATTCACTGAGGGATTGGGATCCTCAGCCTTATGCTGTTAGCATGCAGCTTCCAGACAGTCAATTTATTCCAGACACCCTTGCCTGTGATATCATCTATGCTTAAAAGACTGGAGATATTCAGGCAGCAATCAGATAGCCGAACTACAAGGAGAAATAATAGGTGAGTGCGGCTTAGAGCAGGGGCTTTGCCGGCTGTAAATTGAATTCCTGTTCTCATAGAAGATCCAGCTCTGCCCCCGTGTGCAGAGGTCTGGGAACAGCAGCTCGGCCGGGATCTCCTGCGGTTGTTCCCCATCCCAGGGAGCGGCTCCCTGCCCTGCCCGGGTCCCCTCTGTCCTCGCTTACCCCGGGGCAGCACACACCGCAGCGAGGACAGGGGTACCGCTGCTGGCATGACAACATGTCCTGCGTGCACACATCCACCCTCGTATTCAATAATAATAGGGTTTTTTTAAAAAACCCCGTTGTTGGTCTTTGTAGCCAGATATTGAATTCCTGTTCTCATAGAAGATCCAGCTCTGCCCCCGTGTGCAGAGGTCTGGGAACAGCAGCTCGGCCGGGATCTCCTGCGGTTGTTCCCCATCCCAGGGAGCGGCTCCCTGCCCTGCCCGGGTCCCCTCTGTCCTCGCTTACCCCGGGGCAGCACACACCGCAGCGAGGACAGGGGTACCGCTGCTGGCATGACAACATGTCCTGCGTGCACACATCCACCCTCGTATTCAATAATAATAGTTTTGTTTTTTAAAAACCTCGTTGTTGCTCTTTGTAGCCAGACGAAGAATACGACAAGTTTTAAACGAAAGCCTGGAGCATCATCAGTGAAGAATTTTTTAGGGTGTGGTAGGCTATGGAGTTACTTGAGGTAGAAGTCTCAACATCAGAGGAAAAGCTTCCCAGGAAACTATCACTGTTATGGGAAGAAATGCTGCTGGATTAGAAACCCAGGGTTGTTGGAAATTTACCTTAATACAAGAAGAGCCATCAAATGATGGCCAACATTTATCCCATTCATGTGGCCATAACCTTCCTGAATGTTTGCCCTCTAGGAGTCTGAAATAGAAGGAAGCATTTTTGAAGAGTTTTATTTAAGCTTTTGTATGGATCTTGTATCTGTAGAAATATTAAAATAATCCCAAAGTCACTTTACTGAGCCCTCTCCATCATGATATTTCTGAACCTCAGAATCACAGGATAGTTTGGGTTGGAAGTGATCTCTGGAGATCATCCAGCCCAAACCCCCTGCCAAGGCAGGGACACCTGGAGCAGATGACACAGGAGCATGGCCAAGTGGGTTTGGGATGACTCCAGACAAGGAGACTCCACGACCTCCCTGGGCAGCTGTTCCAGTGCTCTGCAGCTCTCAATGGATGGAATGTTCTCCTCCTGTTAAGCTGGAACTTGTGTTTTAGTTCATGGGCACTGCTCCTTGCCCTGTCACTGGGCACCCCTGAGAACAGCCTGGCACCACCACACACACGCTGTTACGCTGGAACTTGTGTTTTAGTTCATGGGCACTGCTCCTTGTCCTGTCACTGGGCACCACTGAGAACAGCCTGGCACCACCAGACACACCCCAGGGCTTTGGGCAGGTGGGCTCACTTTGCCCTTCCCATTTGCAACAGGTGTATGACATTTCCCAAGGCTCACAGTTGTGAGTCCTGCTGTTTTTCACTGCTCCTAATGCCTGCTTTTAGTCCACCTGCTTTCCTGTGATTACTGCTGTCCCATTCCCTCTGTTGCCTGCTAATGGAGCTCCTTGTGCAATCCCTGTCACACCTGTCCCAGCAGCTCTCCTGCCCTGCCCTGGACACTGCCCTTTGTCTCCCATCCCTTCTCCCAGTCCCTGTAGCAAGGCTCTTTCCTTTTTTCTGTTTTTCTCCCTGCTGCCCTGGGGAGTGGCAGGGGCTGCTGGAGCAGAAGAGCTTTTTGGATGGCCACCAAGCCCCTCAGGGGCAGCACGTGAGGACGAGCAGATCTCCCAGAGGATCTAACTAATGAAAGGGCAGGTGTTGGCCCGACATGAGAGTGATGCCGCTCCCTGGCAGACACCTGCCAGGCACAACAGCTCCTGCTGGCTTCAGCCTGGCAGGAAACACAGCAGGAGAAGCAGCACAGTTCTGCTAATGGAGGTCTCAGATCTGGAGGTGGGTTTGGGGGAGTTTGGGTGGCAGGGCTGAAGAGGAGACAGCTCTGCTCCTGGAGCACCCCCCAGCCACGGGGCTGGCAAGCAGCACCTCCCCTGGTGGTGCAAGTTCTGAGGAAGCTTTGTTTTCAGACTTTGGCATTCCTGCCCCTGGAGATTAATCAATATTAATGCTTCCGTGACTACCGCTTCCTTTCCAAATGTGCTCACAATCAGTTCAAGGAATCTGAAAGTCAACTCGCTCAGGATGCTAAGAATGCGACAGAAACAACTTTCAAAGGAACCCTTCAACTTGTGATATTTGTGAAAGAGATCCAAATAGCATTATTCATTTATTTTTCAGGAAAATGATTTCATTGATATAAACAGGCCAAATCCCACAAGCTCCATTCTGTGACTACGGTTCCCTTACACTTTCAGCCACATTTTTATGATTTATCTGCTCATGCCAAGTGTTGAACATCTCCCAGGATAATAAGAAAACCAATTCTGATTTTCTATTTAAAACTCAGTCTGCCTATAAGCCACATGTATGAATTAAGCTTCTTCTGAAGCACAAACAAGTTCCATCCGTCACTTCCTTCCGTGACTACCTTAAATCAAAAATTTATTATTTTATGCAATATCCCCTATTTGTTTTTCCATACACTTGCGATAGAGTCGAGCCACTTAGCAGAGCCTAGCACATTATTTATCACTTATCTTCCCTAAAACACGACTCTCAGCTGACACTCTAAATTTAATGCCATATAATTGAGGGAGAAGGGGGAAGCCTAACGGCTCTCCTTCTGTTT